AACCTGGGCCAATCTTTTTCTGTCAGATTGAGCTCTTATTGTACTAGGTAAATTGAATAAACAGCAAAGATATCCCTAGGTTAAATCCTACTGTTGCAAAGTTTTAGATGTCACCCTTGCAGGGTGCTGGCCCCCATCTGAGCAAGGCCCCTTCTCCTCTCTGTGCAGATCACTCCTCCAAGTGAGAAGTGGTCTTGGCATGCTGAGCCAAGACCAGCCCAAGCAAGTACCTTGACCCTAACCAAGGAAGGTGCAAATGTAATTCCTTGTGGAGGGTGAGTCTGATCTTCTAATTGAAGGAGGCTTTCCCACTTCACAGCTACTATTTTACACCCACAGAGAGGTTAGTCTGTCATTTTCTGTGAGAATTACTTCCTTGAGCAAAATTATACCTGTATTAACAGTGGCAGTTGGTCACCTCCTGCTTTCCTGGCGGTCTGATGTTTACTGATCACATCTGGGAAAAATAGAAGCTAACAAAAGGTCTGGCCTAAACTTAATGTGTAAAGAACACTCCTTGTTTCAATGGCTTTGGATTACTGAAGGGTACCCATGTGAATCTTCTGCTCTGACTTAGAGTAACACATCCATAGTCAAGGAGGCGAGCACTAGCAAATGTACCAGGTGCATGTAGGATTGCTGGGCATAAAGTTTCTGTATGGTAGATGATGTTTGCAGCTAGAGAATTTTGCCTTGTGTGAAACTAAACCATGTCACAGCACATGAACCAAAGTGTGCTTTGAACAGGAGTGTGAAAACTTGGCTTTTTGTCCTCATGTTGTGGCCCCTGCTTTCATTTTTTAAGGAAGTAACTCTGCTCCCGTGCTTTTCTTACTGTGGACACTTTCTGGAGCTGAAAGTAGGCTAGAAATGCTTGTGGCCCACATTGGGTGGGTTGTCACTTGCTGAGATGGGCCTGTAGAGACAGAATTACATGTAACAATTTTATGTGTTGTCTGGTTAAATTTTAGATTGGAGTACTTGTCTGTAAAGGTGGTTCAACATGTTCCTGGAAAAACAAGGATGAGCAATGAGAAAACTTTCTCAAAGTAAGGCACCTCTACTCAAATACAGAGGAATTAAGGAACAGTATAAAAATTTTTCTTTGATGACTTTATTTCCATTGCAGAGAAGCTACATAACATTTAAAACCACAAAAGACAGAAGAATCTTGGCATTGTTCAAAGGGTTTTGAGCAAGGAACAGGGACTGGAAGGAGGTGTTTCTTGTAGGTGTAGTTTTGGTTTTTTCTAAGAAATCAGACGATAATGTAGAACATAATGGCAAGAATAACAGAGTTACACTTGCGTAAGTTAAACTTCTACATAAGAATGACGCATATAGAGTTCTATTTGTTTGAAAGCCCACTTTATAAAGTCAAGGGTCTCCTGTTCCTAAAACAGTTTATTTGTTTCAGCTAGATCCCCCAAACCTGGAGGACTTCAGAAGGGAAACAATTAATGCAGAAACAAAATCCAGAAAACAATGGGTCACATGAATGTTAATGTCACAGCCCTGAATCCTGGTGTGCTTTCTGTTTCTGGATCTGAATACACGCATTAGCCATGTCTTGACTGCAAGCTGGGAACTCGGGAAATAGCTCTTTTTTTGACAGTGTAACTCATAATGATACCAAACAGAGGATAATTTGCATAATTCTTTCACTATTTTAAGTGTATTCACTATACCAAAATCTGTCTCTGGACAAGTGGAATAAAACTTAAGAAACCACTTTTTTTAGATTCTTCTATTTCAGAAACTTGCATAAAATCAACAAAGGCTTGTGAAATCCCTGTCTGCTCCATTTATTGTGATTTGAAATTTTCTCCTTTGTTTATTCTGCTGTTTTGGAAGTACAGAGATATTTTTCTTCCCCCCTACTAATTTTGACTTTTTCCATTTAGGAATCATTGATTCACCCTCATTTTTTTTCATACAGCTGCCATTCCAATTCTGTTTAAAAAACTTATTGTGACACCATATCTTTGTTCCACAGCGCCATCGGTTGATGTAGACACAACTGTGGCCAGAGACTATTTGATCAGTTAATTTCTGGCACAGAAAGGGGAGGATAAGCCCAAATGTATGCATTTTCATATGTGGCACATAGCATTGTTTACCTTGTGTTTCTTTTGTGATAGGTAGATTTTATACTAAATTATTTGGGACTGCATCTGGCTCAGGGGATTGCTGATGTCCCATGTGATCTTTTTCCAGTAGATTTTTGGTTCTAATTTGATCCAAATTATGATTATCTAAAGACATTTTGTGGCATATGCAAAATCACTTGATTGTCACAGTCCTGTTCCTAGTTGGCGTCAGTCCACACCACAGAAAGTAGAGTCCTGAGTATCACAGCTGGCACATTTTGTGGAAAAGACAAGGATTCACTGACTAAATTTTCTCTCACTAAAGTCAGAAGTAAATTCTACTTTCAATTCTGGTGCAGCACAAGCAAGAAATGATTTAGCATTAATACCTTCCTTCACTTTTCAAAAGCTGATTCCTTTCAAGGACACAATAGAGAAGTGTAAACTGCTGATAGCTCTAAAGTATTTTGGAGAGGGAAAAAAAAAGGACTGGAGATTCTACTCCGATAGCTGTGACACCTTTTGAGTGAACAATCCTTATATTTGTGTCCCAAAGACAACTGTAGTAGGTGTCAGGACCCCCAGGGAGAGGTGGACTCAGCTGCTGAGAAGGAAACAACTGCTCATGTCTCTGTATGTCTGTATATGCCTTCTTGTTTTCAGAAGGTTCATTTACTTTCCTGCATTTGGATGCACAGGGTCTACTCAGGTCCAAACCACACTTAGCCCTACAATCCATTCAGAAACTGGTGTGACAGGAAGCCACTCTGTGAACTGTCCTAATGGAGCTGTTTGTCTCTGCTCCCCTTCCGTGGCTCTTGCTCTAATGTACTCTCCATCCTTTTTTTATCTCTTATTTGCACAGTCCTGAACTGCCCTTTACACAGAACAATAAGGAGTTGGCTGTATATTCCACAGTAATGACATCAAAGGATGATAACAATTAGCACTTCATTTAGCATCTTAACTATAACACAAAGATGCCTAGCCAGCAGCATCTCAGGCACATGGAGAAACTGGCCACAGAAAAGAATGTAATGACCTGGCCAGCTGTGAAGGAAGCTATTGAAAACAGCAATCAAGATTTTTTTATTTACAGACCTAGTTCCATCCACCAAAATATTCTGTCTCCACAAGACTGATGCTTACAGGAAAATTACTCATATCTTATCTATGATGAGAGTAGCCCTGAAACCTGCCATGCTTTTATTCCAATTACTTTTGTATGGTCTTTTTCATGAGGGCAAGTTCAGTAAGCAATTTCTTTCTTATAAACTAATCTAAATCTGCCATCTTTCAGTTTAATGCCATTACCCTAGTTTAGAGGTATGGATGTGCCAAATGCTTCGCACAAGACCAAGTAGGTGACATCAGTCACTCATCCCTCATCCACCAATGCTGTGACCCTGTTATAGGAGGCCACCAAATTTGCATGATTTGCCCTTGGTGATACATCTTGCCATTCTTTCAGCATGACATCATTAACATTTGGGGATTTTGTGTTAATCCACATGGGAAAAACTCTTAGACATTCTTCATTTTAGTCTCAACTATTGTAACAAACTTTTCTTCAGTTTGAGAGAATGTTGTCCAAATTGCATCCATTCAAACTGCTATTGAAAAGAACATTCTCCCAGCTTGTAGCCACAGTTGTGTGATTTCCCTCTGAAATTTTCTACTGACACGTATTTCTTTTTAATTCAATCATAGAAAAAGCAACTCCTCTTCAGTTTTAAGGGCCCATCTCTCTCATTTGATGTCAGGATCTGCTGGCTTTGGTATAGGAGAAAAAGGATGAATGAATGCCTCACTGCACAGGAGGGACTTGTTTTTTCAAACCAAGAATTTATAGCATTTGGTGTAAATCCCACAGAGACTCCCCAGGAATACAAATGACAATTGCACATGCAGGTGGTGATTAAGTGGAAATCATGGGCAAAGTACATGTTCCTCATTTTCAAGAAAGGTCCAAAAGCTGTCTAAGGGACATCTAGAAAGGATTACAAATGCCTTCATTTCCTTCTAGGCTTGGTCAATAATTCCTGGTAAACTCTCTGTATAAAGGCCTGAGTCCCTCAGCCCAGCAATGTCACCCTTCAAGTGGGTGATTTGGTTTTCTCCCATGGCTCTTAATAGAATCACAAAACGGTTTGGGTTGGAAGGAACCTTAAAGACAGAAAAAGGGACCTGACATGAGCCAGAGTGTGCCCAGGTGGCCAAGAAGACAAGTGGCATCCTGGCCTGCATCAGACATGGCGTGGCCAGCAGGACCAGGGCAGGGCACTGTACTCTGCAGGGGTGAGGCCACACCTGTGGCCAGGTCGGGCCCCTCAGTTCAGGAAGGACATTCAGGAGCTGGAGCAGCCCAGAGAAGGCCGGGGAGCTGTGAAGGGTCTGCAGCACAAGTCCTGCAGGAGCGGCTGATGGGGCTGGGGGTGCTCAGCCTGGAGCAAAGGAGGCTCGGCCGGGACCGCCCCGCTCCCTGCAGAGCCCTCAGAGGAGGCTGAGCCCGGGGGGGTCGGGCTCTTCTCCAGGTAACAAGGGACAGCACAAGGAGACATTGCCCCAGGCTGTGCCAGGAGTGGTTGGGGTTGGACATTAGGAGGAATTTCTTCAGAGCAGAGATCATTGAACAAACATTGGAATGTGCTGCCTAGGGAGGTGGTGTTGTCGTCCCTGGGGCTGTTTGAGGAGAGCCTGCACTTGGCACGTAGTGCCAGGGTCTGTTTGGCGCGGTGCTGCTCGCTCCCGGGCTGGACTCGAAGAGCCAGAGGCCTTTTCCAGCCCAATCGATCCCGGGGCTCGCTGCCACACGCGCCGGGCACCGCGCCCGGCTGGGTTTGACCCGCGCCGCCCGCCGTACGCCGCCTGCACCCGCGCATGCGGAGTAGGGTAGCGCGGTGGGAGCGCGGAGGCGGCGGAAGGACCTTGCGGGACTGAGGTGAGGCCGCTCCCGCTCGGCTCCCGCCGGTCCCTCTGCCCCCCCTCATGTCCCCTGACTTCCCTTTTCATCCCCAGCCCCAGGGCCGCCAGCCGCCGCTCCCCGCTCTGCCGCGGCCCTGCGACAGCGCCGTGACCTCTGCGCGTCCGTAAGGGCGGCGGGGCCGGGCCCAGCGGTGGCGGCTGCAGCGCGGGGCTGCGGCGCTCTGGGTGCGGGAGCGGTGCGGGGCTGGCCCCAGCCTGTCCCCGGTACCGCTTACAATGGCTTCTGACATAAACTGCAGGACAGCAGGCCTGGGAGGGCAGACCCTGCGGGGAGCGCAGGATTTAGTGTGAACAGCGAACGCCAGCCTTGATTCCACAGATACTGGGTGTAAGGGGTGTAAGAACTTAAACTAGAATCGTGTCATAAATAGGTCGTCCTTGAATTTTGTCCCGTAAATATTCTCCCTGGAAGGTCAAGCACACAGGACCACTGTTGGTTATACTGTGAAGATGATTATTGCGCAATGCAAAAAAGAATAACTTTCTGCATTACCGAAAATTATTTTAAGCAGAGGTTCTCTTACTTCTTTTATCCTTCAGGAAATCCAGTCACCATGTCAGCTGCGCTGTTGCCAAAGCCCCAGATGCGGGGCCTTTTGGCCAGGCGGATGAAGTTTCACCTCCTTGGGGCATTTCTGGTATCTATGGGATGTGCAACTTTGTACAAGGTGGGCTCTGTAGTCATTCGGTTATAAACTGGGCTCATTGGAATATTAAAAGAATTCATAATATTTTTCTGTTGAGATTGAGTTGAGCTGTTCATCAGAAAGGTTTAGTAATGTATTTTTGTAAGCATCTTTCCAAAGCACAAATAAATCTTCCTAATCTTCATTTGAAAAAATGATGTGAATAATCTGATGTTTCATGCTGTGTGCTCACGCAATTCATGACAACTCGACCTTGAGTCTCCTAGTCCCAAATTGCTCTTGATCATTCACAGCTGATGCACATTAACTTAGTTTGTGCTTTGGTCTGCCACAGTTTCTGAGGCTTGGGAGGGTTGTCCAAGTCTTACTTTATTTCTTGATTGATTTCAGGAAATTTGCTCTAAAGCAATTTGGAAAACTCATGCTTTACACTGAAGATATCAGTGTAGGAAAACCTAATGTGGTCTTTCTATCCTTGCTTTTGAGGTATTGTATGGAAATGGAGGATTATGTTTCCAGAAAAACACCCTTACCGGTTTGATTTCTGATAAAGATAAGAGCAGCACTTGTTCTTGAGTGCTCTTATTAAATAATTCTTGTATCTCATGCACAAAGCAAACAACAGAGTGTGAATTCTTGTGGGAGACCTGGATCTTGGTTTTTCAATTGAACTTGTGCATATATTATTGGCAGCATTTGAGTGCTCAGGAAGGTGTGGATTAAAGTGATGAGAAATCAAGTTAATTTCAGGTTTTTCACAACTTCTCGGAGCCACAAATGTATAGCAGAAACAATAAACTCACACATGTGCTTAACACATCTGTTGGGAGGTAGACAAGCTTGTTTGTGGTCAGACTTAGAGTATAATTTTTTTAATAGTCTCTGGGTCAGTTCCTTATTTGGCACCCCCATGTTAATACACTGGTAAGGTGGCAGACCAGATTTAGGTAACATGGATCTCAGCAGCCATTTACTTTGTTCCATGTCAGATGCTGTTGTACAAACCCAACTCGGAATTTTTTTCAATCTTTGGGAGCTTTTTGAGTATATCCCTGTGCTTCAGGTGAATGGGTGTCCAAGAAATGAAGATTGCATCTTGCTATGTTGGTGATCTGTAAGAGTGGCTCAGCAGTCTTGTACAACTTTACCAGATGTAGTTGACTTGCGGTGTAGCTCAAATGTAGTCCTTCAGTGTAGGATGCCATTTTATCTGGAGTTAAGAGTTTTGCAGCTGCCCAGAGGCACAAAACTTGCCATAATGACATGTTTTATGTATAAAACTTTTATCAGGGAGGGTGTTGGACACTCTGGTATCAGTACAGATGGAGTGGTTTTGGATCTTGAAAGTGTGATGTGCTACCTTGTAACAGACTTTAAGGTTTTACTGTAGGTATTTGTTCTCCTGATTAATGATCAGATAATCTGACAGGTGGGTTTTAACAAGAACAAGGAAATGTTTAATAATTTGAGATAAAGGCCTTTAGATGAATATCCACTGGTAGACGTTATGGAACTAACAGAAAAAAGATCTGTTCATAGAGCTTTGCAAACTTTAATATTCTGTGTGTTACTTCCCAGTTTGGAATTGCTGAACCCAGAAAACAAGCTTATGCAGACTTCTATAGAAACTATGATCCCATGAAGGACTTCGAAGCCATGAAGGCAGCTGGTGTGCTTGAGAGTGCACCACCCAAGTGATGGTAAGCTGCATCTGCAGGTAGTGAACTGCAGTCAGAACAGGAGTTCTGAGTACAGAACAGGAGTAAGATGATTTCAGTGAGATGTTGTGCTTCTGCTTGGAGCAATCTTCCTTTTTTTTTTGTCCAAATCGAAAGGGTTTTCCAAAGAAAAAGGATACAAATTGCACTCAAGAGAGCTGGGTAATAAAAATATGAAGAAACAGGAGAACTGAGGTGTGGGTAATAAAGGCAGGATAGAAGCTCCTGAATACCTTTTGTATTTTGTAATTTGTTTTAACTTGTGGGTACAGGGACAGAGTGATGATGCCAGGCCTTTGCCCTCCTCTCACAACCACGGAGAGGAGACAAAGCTCTAATGTTAAACTCCCAAGACGTGCCTGATTCCACAGTTATGTTCATGCTGTCACATCTTGAACTGCTTAACTTGGGCCTGTCTGTATCTTCTGCTTACATATTTGTGGTGGTACAGTGAGTGGGAAAATAGAGAGGCTGATTCTCTCTCATAGCATACATCTTAATGTAAGAAACAGAGACAGCTTCTGCATATCATTTTGTATTTGAAGTTGGTGAGAGGGGGAAATACATCTATATATGCCTATATATATATATATATATATATATATATAAATATATATAAAAAATCACACTGGCATACAGCTCTGTGTTCTACTAATCACATTTTTGACATATTGTGTGAAGATTGAATAGGACTTTGTTCACAATACTCTTTTTTTTAAGCACTTGACACTGCCTTTTCTAAGAAAACTACCCAGCTTTGTTCTCCCTTGCTAGTAACAACCAGTAAAAAAGTCTTGATTTCAACTGTGTTGTAGTTATTAATAACTACACTCACTAAGCTGCACAAGCTGATGTGACAACTCAATAGAGTTCCTCCCCCTTTCATGGTGCAAATTTTTTACATTGAGTTCTTTGCTTCTCCTAAAATGACTTCAGACTAATCAAGAATGATAGTTTTTCATTCTTTTGGAATGTTTTCATATTGTGATCATTACGTGATAATCTGTGGCTTTAATTATCATGGCCAGCTGGATTTTCTCAGCTTGTTTGCATGAACAAGCAAGATTGAATAAAAGATTTGTACTTAACGCTATGAATACTGAATTCTCTTCTATGACAATCTGCAACTATCTGGTTTCTGCTTAATGAAATTTCATAAAAAAGCTCAGAGCTCCATCTCTTCTAAAAAATTAGAAAAAAAGGTAAAAAGTCCTTTTTTCAATCCCAGCTTTTGGTAGTGTTTTGGAGTATTTTTGTTTTCTGAGAGTGGGATACTGCTGCTTTTTAGCTATAACTGCGACAAATATAAATAATGAAATTATAAATTTGCCTGGTTTAAGACTTGGTAATTCTGCCTCTGATTCAGTCCTCTGGCTATTTTATAGTCATGTTTAAACTTTAGACACTGGAATTGCATCCTTTAGTCGGGTGACCTTCATCAGTGTATTCTGAAAGGCCATCTGGTGGTAAGATCATTTGAAACAAGCACTGTCAACAAGGATGCATGTTGAATATTTAATTCAAATCATGAGCAGGATTTATTTCTGTACAAACAGAGCTCCACTCTCAGCCTGTGTTCCCATTGGCAGCTTAAAAAAACTGCACATTGTGTGCACCTGTTAAAATTAAATGTTTCCTAAACAATTTTTCCATTTCTTAATTGTACTGACTCAAAAGAAAATGTGGGAGACAAATAGTCTTTTGTGATTTTGTTTGAATTGCTGATGTTTCTTATTCTTTAGCCTGTTTATAGAAGAACAAATATTTTTTCACTCTTTCATAGTAGAAAGAGGTTGTTTTTTGTTGCGCCTGCACATGAATACAAAAGTAGATGAAGGGGAAAACAATGCCAGTGTTTCAAATGTTCTGTAAAGGCTGTAAAAAAAGGACAAGTATGCAGAACAGATGGAAGACATTTTCGTTTGCCTCAGAAGTTTAAATCTTGGCTATTTTGAATTTTAAGCCTTTTATTGGTGTAGTTACCTAAAGGATACAGTTTACTGGAGTATGTCCTGTATGTGGCAGTGAATACAGCGGCTTAACCTCACTGAATACTCTCTGTGGAACCAGTACTTAGCCCCAGAATTGAGGAAGGGTTTGGGTGGGCAGGAAGGAGTTCAGGAGTTATGGTGGTAGCATGGCACTCTACACCAGGTTTGTTCCTGGTGGGCATGGAGGCACCTTGGAACCTCCCTGGGAATTCACACTTTTCCATCTGCTTGCTGTGGACTCTGGTGGTGATACTGACAGTGGAAATTAAGTGCAGGTATAATGTGAGGAGTATCTGGCCTCTGCTGTGTGCTCAGCCATTGAATAAAGGGGGAAGCTCAGAGTTTGGTGCTAACCACTTTCAAGACTCTTGTCATGGAGCACAGCTGGTCTTGGATTATGTTCAGTATAATGGGGAGAAGCAATTTGAATTTGGTTTTCTTCCTTCCTTGGTAGGCTGCCTGCACCACTTGTTTCCTCTCTGGCTCCTATCTGAATGCTGCATTCCTTTCTCCTGCAGGCCCTCAGCAAGACTGATTCAGTTACCAGTGTAGCATATATAGTGAATCTGATGTGCTGTTCAGTGTTGTTCCAGCTCTTGATTTGTTCCATGTTTCACTTCTGTTTGCCACATGAAGGGTGTGTGAAACTTCAATCTCAGGAAATAACGGGGAATTCCTCTAGACTAAACTACCGCATAAACATTTCTCTGCTGCTTTGCATTCGTACATAACTAATATGTTTGCTCAGAGCATGAAGTTTGTCCATCATAACTTAATGTGCTTTTTTTATCTTGCAGATTCCCTTCATTTCAAGAAGACTTGATGACTGAACCTTATTTGTTCACTGAATTGTAAAGTGCAATGCACCACAGTGCATGGCACGCTCTAATGCAACTCAATAAATAAAATACATATGTCAGTGACATTTTGTTCTCTTCATTAAAGTAGAAATACTTAACCAGGCTCAGGTACTGGGTGGGTGGAAAGAGGGGTGGAAAATCTTCAGAAATTGCTCAAGATGACTAAGTCTGTCTTTCCTCCAGGAATTATTTGCATCTCTCTTTTGGCCAAATTCCACATTTGATAGCACAGTATATCCCTAAGCAGTGACAGCTAGTTTGTCCCAGCTGTTTATGGGAATGTGCAAGAGGACAGATGTTGGAGGAAGGGCGAGGATGGATTTCTGGAGGGGTCTGTGTTACCTCTGGCTTCACAAGGTGAGCTGACCTTGAGATGGAAGAATTTGGCTAGAAATTCTGGAAATACACCAGCCAACCTTTTTGTCTTTTTCTGCTGTCATCACTGTATTATCTTCCTTACATCAGCATACTGTTAAAGCAAGACTTACAGACTCTGCAAATACCCATTCTTACACATGGTATATTAGTTACTGTAATTGGAAAATGACTCCAAACTGCAGGCATGTTCCCATATAATTGATGTACAAGAGGGAAGGGGGTACAGGCGGACAAAGTAAATATTATATTATGGTAATAAAAATTTTGGCATGCTGCTTTTAGACATGTATCATCTTTTTAATATCTGGAAGTAGTCATCTAAGCATAGTTTGGATCTCTGATACATTCTGTGCAGTCTGAGGCACAATGCTCTGTCTTGGCCATGATTAGCTGTCAGTGAGAGCAGGCTTTGTCATTGCCTGTTGGTCAGGATGAAGAAGGTACTAGGACTGCAGCTCTTGTTTGCTGAATGTGGATACTTAGGAGAGCAGGCAAAAGCTGACTGCATGAAAGGAAGGAAGTCTTTGTATGAAGCAGCATGACAAATTAGGCCATCTGTGTTGTATTTGAAGGTCTTCGGTTCAAATCCTGTTTGGAGTAACTCTTATTATTTTACATGGATCATTAACTACTTAACACTTAATAGGTATCCTTGAACAACATTTGGACTAATGAAAGCACATAAGTAATGTATGTGATCCAGAGCATTTTATAGAGCAACATGGGATTTTCTTTAAAACTTCCCATGCAGACAGTGCTTCCTTTAAGCAAAGAAAGAATCTGACATTAGTGATGCTGGGGAAACCATCTAGTAATCAAAATACCCCAGCTCCTATAAATGTAAACCAGAGCTTAACAATAGCAAATGATACCCATTTATCTTCCCAATGTATAGTATAAACAGTGTATGCCACTAAGTACTGACTTAACATTTTCTCAGGCCTGTCTGCAGGTTTAAATAGCCAGGGGTCTTCAGTCTTACTGACAGCTTCAGAGGCAAAGAAACTTGCTACTGCCAGGTGTGCAGGTTAATTGACATGACTTCCCTTGTCGGTCTAGGCCCTGTATTCTTCACAGTTGCTATGAGTTAATTTACTGTTAAATTCTTAGTTGCTTTTAAACTGTTGCAGCCAGTAGCAGCTATTGCAGTCTGTGTTCCTTCAGCTACCAACTCATGATTTAAAAAAATGAGAGTCTTGTGACTGAAGGCAATTTTTGACAGATACAGCGAGCTCAGGGATGTCTCTGTCTAAATTTAACAAAGGAAGCTGAGTTCTAATTTCTGTGGCTGTGCTTTGAGTGTCTGCAGGCTGTAATTGTTGCTTTCTGGATTCAGTCTGGTTTTACGCTGGATGCAATGGAAGTACTTCCCTTAAGCAGGCAGTGCCAACCAACCCACAGCTTGCTTTCCTTTGGAGTAGGGAGTGCAAAGCTGGATACCTAACCTGCTTTTCTGAAATCATCACCAGCCCACCAGTTTTCCTTTTTTTTCTTCCTTTAAGAATTTTTTTTCCTTTGCCAACAAGAGTTCAGCTAATTCTATTGTACAAAGAATTGGAGTGGGACATAACAGGGACATAACATTGCTTGATACAGGGCATTCTGTTTCTAGGAGATGCAGAGCTGAAAAACATGCTTGGCTGCTCTTGGAGATTATCCCAAGTGTCTGAAGTTTTTTGCTATATTTATGTATGAAATGATATATAAAAAGGAATTATTTGACCTGAACTGCTTTGGGATAGGTCTTGCCTGACTATGGCTTCATATTTTTTGGCGAGCTTACTTTATTCTCGAGTGTTTGAGGAGTGATTGATTGTTCTGGAAGCAAACTAAAAAGATAGATTTGAAGCTGTGAGCTCTCCAGGTCTAAAGAGCATTATGAGAGTAGGCATGTTTTAAGAGTACACATTGCACTGCTTTAGCAGCTAAGTACAGGCAGCTGCTCTTTGGACAACTTTGTTTTCATAGTTCACACAGCTCATATGTAGGAGAGGTTGATTTATGTGCCGTCCCCACTCGTTTCCATACATGTGGTCAGAAAGGGGAAGAAAGAACCTGCCTAATGCAGTAAAGATGCAGCTCTATTCACTGAAGAAAAGTGTAATTTAAGCAAGTGTTTATTCCAGGAGAATGTAATTCAGGAAAAACACAAATGAATCTTAAAAAAAATGGTTGAAATCTACAAACTTTTAGAAATGAAACTGCTGTTCCTCATTATATACAGGTGTGTTTGCATCCCCTTGGCTTGTCTGTGTACTCCATAAATAAGGAACAGATTAGTCTAATTGAAATGGTGAGTACAGTGCTGTTTTGATTCAGTTAGTCACAAAAGCATAAAACTTTTCAGCACATGGTTTTGGCAAGCTAGTCTCCAGTTTTTACTTCCAAAGTATTGTCATGGTCTATTGCATTTTCTGGTACACTACAAAGTCCAGTGACCAACTGGGGTCTAATGGGGCCCTCATGAAGCTTGTACATCAGTCTTGTCCTTGTACTAAGGAATAAATAGATCACAAGAACAAGTATTACAGGAATAGCTTTATTATCTTTAAACAATTTAATTATATTACAATTTATCCATCAATATGCAAAATTAGAAGTATTAAACAACTTCCATAAAATACTCAGGAATGAAGCACATGTGTGTATATACATATACATTTTTAAACAGTGTTATTTAAACAATGACTAAGTTCTTAAATCATTGTATGAAATGTTGATAATGGATGGGCTTATTTCACAGTCAGAAAAGGACAATGCAGACCCCAGACTCCTTTATTCTCAGTAGATGAGACAGCTTTTTAGAAATATCTTTTAACAAAACAGAACTCAAGAGAAAAACATTGCTGTTACTACATTCTTATTTACTGTGCATTTGGTCATATCAAGTATGCATAGAAGTTATTAACTATAAAGCATATGCTCCAAATGCTGATCACATTTTATTCCAGTTTTTGACTCCAATTCCAGCCATGTTAAAGAATCTGCAGACATAAATCATTTTGGTAAGCATATAGAAAAGGAGAGAACAATTAAAACACATAGTTGGAAACAAAGTAAACTTTTGGTTTTAAAATGAAACTGCCATAGCCAGATTTGGTTTATAAAGTCACCTAGCTACCCAAAGACTGATTTCTTGTCTACTACAAGAAATGCAGGTGTAACTGTATTGTGATGGCATAATTAACTATTAATGTAATTTGTGCCTGTGGGTCCATAGTTTTCAATCAGCTTTAAAGAAATCCCTGTGCTTGGTACATATTTGAAAGGTCATGCATCTAAATATTCCTGTTTTTATCAGTTTGAAGATGATAAGCATAAAGTGAACTATAGCTGAAGGGAGCATATACAATGCAGTGGTGGCAGATCAGAAAGAAGCAAGACCCCACAAGGTTACCCCACAAGGTACTTAGCACCTGCACATCTGGGTTACATTGAGCTTGGAGATTTTAAGGAGATAGCTCTGTTTCTTAAATTTTTGAGCTGCATGTTACTGGCTTCCAGTTAATGAACAGACAATTCACGGTCATACATACATTGAAAGTACTTCTGAAAATTTGATGGTGGATAAAATAAAGTTTCTGTATACAGACAGTTTTAAAAATAAAGTCATGTTGTAGTTCATGTTTTGTTCTCCAAACCACACAAAGGCACTAGTTTACATTATGGACTAATGTCCTGCAGAACTTCAGTCAAATAAAGGAAGCTATTTTAAGGTTAAAGTGGTGCTAAAACCCAGCTGTCACTAGTAACTTAAAACAGCCACACTGGGTTTTTCAGATTTAGTGGGGGAAAATGTTTTGCCTCAGGACGCACATGTTGGGGGAGTGTGGGTGTTGGGGGAAAAGCTCAGCCTTGAGCAAGTTTTTACAGCTGAGTTATAAACCTGGTTTATAACAGAAACTGGCAGACCCTAAAGTAAGATATAGAGGTATTGATACACATTTCTGTGTGTGGTAAAAACGTCCCATGCACATAATTTTTCCCCATTCTCTAATTTTTGGTTATTGAAAAGAAAAAGGATTTTGATTAAGCTGTAGTCCAAGGCTGTTCCTTCTCACTTTATTTGTTTGTCAGAACACTTTCCTTCCAGCACTAGTATTTTGGCTAGAAAGCAGGAATGTTGTCAAGATTAGAAAAGCTATTGGGCTTTGTTATCAATTTCTACCTCCTCAGAAATGACATGCATCTCTACTTGATGTTGGTTACTGCAGAGAAAGCATTGCTTTCAAACTGGTATGGTACTACTATATGCACCAGAAATAGCTATTAATTAAATCCTTTCCTCAAGGCTTTATTTTTCACCATGGTGAATTTGCTAATGAATACCTGGGCAAAATTTGGATCAACTACGTAGTGATAGGTTTTTGTTATAGTCAGGGGCTGTTCGGCAGCCACGGTTTGCGGGGCTGGCGCTGCGGCGGTGCTGGGAGAGAGGTGACAAGAGGCCTTAGTGATGTACTCCACGAGGCGGCTGTACTGCTGCTCTGACAGTCTCTCTCTGGTGCCCTCGGCCTGAAATCAGATAAGATACAATAGGTACTGAGTATTTGACAGTAACTGAGCCGAGTAGCAAGGACAATAACTTCCACATTTCTCTGATAAAAATCTTCCTGCCTGAAATCTTAAAATAGTTTAAAGGATTTTTAAAAATCATGAATGTTGTCCCTTAGTTGAGTCCTTGG